ATTTTGGTCCTTAAAAAAATAAAAGCCTATGACCATTAGCACTAACATGGGTGAAAGGTGCAGGGAAGGACTTGAGAGAAGGAGCATTAGCTATTGCTTTTCTGYTTCTGTTGTGGAGCTGCTTCTTCACCATGGTTTTTGTAAGGATGTCTGAAGTAMCCCTGAGGGACTCAGAATTCTGAGCAAAGCTTTATTGCAGCAAGTTCTCTCCAAACTCATCAAAAGCATAAGAGATGTTTTCCAAAGAACAATCACAAGTCTGGAGCAGGGCTCAAACTGGCTTGCAGATGGTATAGAGTCGTATTACAGTAGATAGTTTATAAAGACTAACTTTTTTTTAGGAAGAGTTGAAAGTGAACATGGGCAATAAAAAATAGTCTTGATGCAGTCAATCCGCCACCACTTTTTSAACCTGTGAAGTGCTATTCAAGTTTTTATAATTGATTGTTACTACTAAATTGTGGCAGCATATTTCAGGAGTGGATATAAGAATAGTTTATTCTGAGCAGTTGTTGTTGTGTGTCAGTCTTGTACCCAACAGAGCCTTTGGATGGCATCTTTTTTTACTCTTCACTTTTTTACTAGCAGCCTGTCAAACTGTGTCCAGGCTGACCTTGTTTGAACTGCATTGGCAGTACTGCCCTCCCTCGGAGTCCTCCCTTGCCTGCCTCCTTTCMCCTTATGGCTGCATCAGCACTGCTGCCACAGTAATTTTCCTGCTGTGCTTTATACATAGTAAAATACCAGGCAGGTGAATGTCTGAGGTTGGACTCTTGCCAGGATGAGATCAGTTAGGATTTGAACTTGAAACTTTTGGGACAACGAGGGTCTTTCACTTCGAAGTTGTTATGGGTATGTTGCTAATAGCTATTAGTCACAAATCAGAGGCCATCAGTGAAAGAATATAGTTGTGATGGTGACAGCTATAGATTAACAAACCTCAGTAATGGAAAAATAGTTCAGAAAAATCCATAAATGACAGATACTGCAGAATGAATATTTTATAACAATAGAAAGTGCTGATACTTGGAAATTATTTGAGGGAGTCAACGAAGGAGTAACTGAATAATAATAGCTTGCATGGTCAGATAGCTTTTCTTATAAGAATCATTAAGAAAACCACATCTGAAACCAAATCTATGGTTTCAAACCAAATCTGTAGTTTGAAAACTCAGGGTGGTGAGGATTATGCTTTTTATAATAGAGAATGTGATTTTTTTTTTTTTTTTTTTGAAAAGGAATACTCCAATACTCCAAGGTCAGACCTAGCAGCTTTATTTGAAGGACCTTGCAGTGGTGCTTGCTGGTGGTGTCCAGGTGTTTTGAATCTTCCAAATTAGAAGTTGGCTTCACGTTCCCTGGACATGTGAGCTCCTGCTCCTCCCTTCTGCATCTGCCTCTTCTTATCTGTGTTGTTGGTTGTCTTTGGTGCTCATGTGCTGAACTCGCCTAACTCTAAAGCAGTTATCCGCTGCTTTATGCACTTTGATTTTTGCTGTTGCTAATTTAACAGTTTAAATTGGCTCTGAAAAGGTCTGACAAGGTAGGCGGTGTGGGAAAGAGACTGTACAGCCTGAGAGAGAGGCTGTATGTGTGCGAGTAATTGCAAATGAGTGTAGGTAACACTTTCATTGAACAAATTAAATGATMCTTACACATGGAAATCTGAAAGTGCTATGGATTGATACCAGTACAGCAGGAAAACCGAATTCCTCTCTTCCATCTCTATTGCAAAGTTATCATTTGCTTGTAGTTTCAGTAGATTAGGATAGATGTTTCATCTGAAAGTGTATTAAACAAAACGAGCAAGTGCTGGTCTTTGGAGTGATCATGATTCTCCAAGATGTAAAGCATATAAAAATAGTGTCCAGCTGGAACCAAACTGTAATATTTAATAAACTTGTATGTTTGTTCTTTGTGGAAGAAATGGAAGCAGCTGAAACATACTTTGTCTTTTCCTTTTATTTTTTYCCCCCCCCAAAGAGAATAATGTGCAGAAGGTGCTACAGCATTCAAAGATCGTGTACCATATTTATTTTCTTATCTGACAGTCTGTAATTACTGGAATTAGAGACAGTGTTACATAACTCAGTAGGTAAGAAACAAAAGCGAAAAAGTGAGCTCCCTAATTAATCATGACACATGAACCTCTGGTTATTTTGTAATTGGTATTTAGCTAATTCATAAATCTGGGCCCTTGAACATCTTGGGTCAATAACATTATAGCTCCTTACCCAGAGGCTGCATGGCAAGCAGCCCTTATTTTTCTTATGGTTAGAAAGGGTTTCAGGAGCTGTGCCTGAATCTGGCCATTGAGCTACCTGTTTGTGAGTTAATATGGAAGTTTGTTTTGTTGGTTCTGTAGTTGGCACTATTTATTAATGTATCCATCCCGGGAGTGTTGCATCTGCCAACTCCTGCTCTTGTAGAATGTAGGATTACATTTGTCCAGGCTACAGTATCTTCAAAATATATGGTTTGGAATATTTGAACTCATGAGCCTTTATATATTCGAGTCTGAGTATGTAAGTGGGGTGTCTTGGAACTGGTTTTCTTTGGATCTGTGGCTAATGAAAGAGAGAGCTTTTAAGGAATGGGTTGGGGTATGTCCATGAGGGGCCAACTCTGCATTGTTGCTGGGAAAGAGAAAAGAAGGAGATTATAAGTTTCCCCTGTTCTGATGGGAGGAAGGACATAAAGTTCAGGACAGCAGATTTCCTGTGGATGAAATTTTCCCAGGGAAAGGCCTTTGGGTGGGATACCCCTCCCATGCCCTTAGGTGACACTGGCAGTTGACAGCTGCTGATGCTTCCCCTTGTGGGAGCTAAAGCCCCTTGTTTCCAGGTGCTTGCAGAGTGGTTCACACTCTTCCTTTGGCTTTTCCCTCCCGCCCCATCTTTACCTTCACTCACCTTTTTTTAAAGATGGCACGTCTTTTCTGGTGGAAGCTAGCATTAAAAGTGATTTCAGTACATTACAGAATATAATTTGAAGTCTTCCTGGCTGTTCCTTTGACTATAACTTTTTCATTGTCTGTCTTTTGGACAAAAATAATGTTAGAAGTAAAAGATCACTCGAGCACTCATAGTGGAAATTGTAAAACAAGTTCTGCAAAATATCATTTAAATATTTCCTACTCTTTACCAGGTAATTTTTTTGTGAAGTTTCACCTTGAGGCAATGACTTCAGCATGCTTTTTCATTCCAAAATAGTAAATAAAAAATTCTTTAGGATGAAGAGGCAATGCCTTGGCTTCCATTTCATGGTTTCTTTCTTGGGGCTTCAGGAGCTCTGTTGTTCGGAGTTCAGGTTTCTTTAAGCATGAGCMCTGATGGTGTAGGGAGCTGGACATCTACCACTCAAGAGCTTTTGATTCAAGCGTCTCTGTGTTTGCTGCAGCAAATTGGATGGGTAACATCATGGTCTCGGTGTAGATGCTTCTGTTCAGACTTGCTTGTGTTACCTGGCAATGTGAGGTGGTACTTTGGGGATCATTACATTTAAGGAATTACCCAAAGGCTGCAGTGCACTTGCAGTGCTTGAGAAGCTGCCATCTCAGACCACTTCCTTGAAACTGCATTTCCYATATCCCTTCTGTTGGGTGTGCAAAATGAAAGCTGCTACTGGGTGATAACGGGTACAACTGCGGCAGCCTGTTCCACCGCTTAGTGAGAGCGGTGGCGTGGTCATTGTTGAACAACTTGTTTTCTTTCCGGGACCTGAATTATCATTTAATATTTATGGGAAGATGAGCATGGATCCACTTCAAAATCAAAAGCAGTTGCTCAGTTGTAGGATGRCTGTTCCAATTTATACCTTCTAAGTGTCCTCCTCATGTTTATAAGCTACTCGAGTGTTTTATTGACTCAAAGGGACTTTTGAGACTTKTTGGAMAGACTTTTTTTTCTTCTTTCTTATTTTGGTAACTTTCTGAACAAACAGCTGTAAGATTTACTGCTATTGGATTTTGCATGACTGCACAAAAAAACCCCACAAATGTAAAGTAAATCGCCTCAGTGCAAATCCCTGCAAGTGATCTGCAACATACCTGCAATTTCTCTGTGTCTTCCCATGTGGACGGTACAAAGGAAGTGTAATGYTAAGGGGAAAGTAGTGCTCTAGAATTACTGCTGTTTAAGTGGTGAAACTATTGAACTTCGGCTATGCTTTTGATTTTGTGTCAGAGTCAATATTTTTATATTTTCCTGCTGACTTATTTAAACAAGTACAATTTGAGTCTGATTCTGTAATCCCCTGAGAATCGAGTTCTACTGATATGGAAGACTTCTATTATATTGCAAAGGTTGTGGATTAAGAAGTGTTTTTATTTTCACAGTTTTAGCCACTGTGACAGTATTTCATGCTGTAGAGAGGAGGGGAGGAAAAAAAAAAAAACCCAGAAAAAAAAAAAATCTATTTCTTGACCCCTTTGGAAAGGAGACCTTCCTCCCCATGCACCTCCAGCTTTGGTATTTTGTTCATTTTAATGTGGAAAAATGCTTAATTAGTACCTAAGATGTCTGCTTTCTGAGAATGTGATCTAAATCATATTTTAATTTTTAAGCCTGGTGATGCCAGTAGTAGAACCAAACCTGAATTTGTAGATGGTTAACAGTTGACGTAGACTCATTTACAGCAGTATCCAAGCAAAATGCCGTGCAGTAGAGCTAGTGTGCAAAGATAAGAGCTCGTTTAAAGCAGAACTCGCCTCCCAATTTTTAATCCATTTTCTTGCATTGATTGATTATTGGCAAACTAGATGACATTAAGCAGTAGTGGATTCACRTATCTCAGTTGCAATTGAAGAATTTTGAAAGCAAGTTTAAGTACTTGATTTACTGTTACGGTAATGTCTAGTGCTATTTTAATGGAAATTTTGTTAATATTTTGAAATATCATTATAACCTGTTTTCAATTTTGTAAACCTTGGCATGTTACTTAAAATGAGCTTGTTAAAGATTAACCTGAACTTGGATTATATTCTATTTTATAACTTTTAGAAATACAAAGAGAAAGATAAACACAAGCAAAAATATAAGAAGCAGTCGGAGTCTTCACCCTCCTTGGTTCCATCTCTTACTGTAACTACAGAGAAAGTAAGTTGACGCAGTTTTTTATTCCCCTTATCATCTTCATTTACTTAATGTTGAAATATTGTAATTATTACAATGTATGTGCAAGAGCTGTGAAAGTAGAATAGACTTTATATGCTATCAAGATCAAGCATCTTTAGTGTATTTTCCTGACATGCAAAATCCAAAAATGCTTTTGCGGTTATGGGATTATTATTCCTTCCTCCTTCCTCCTTCCTCCTTCCTCCTTCCTCCTTCCTCCTTGTTGATTACATGTTTGTGTGTGTGTTGGTTTGTTTTTGTGTTGCCTGGACTGTTTCCTTCACCTTCTGGCACTTTTTGGGGTGATGACCTGCTGGTGTCTTTCCCCTCTGTGTGCAAACCTAATGTGCTACACGTGTGCTTGGGGGCTGGAGGCTTCTCCAGCCTCRGGAAGTCCTGTGCATATTAAGAATGATTATTATGCAAATCTGATTGCTTTTCCAGAAGTCTTGCTGCACAGGGGTGGGACAGCTCTTCATATGCAGGAATATATGCGGGGCAGAAAAATGATAGTGGGAGTGTGGGTAGTTCCTAGTGCAATGAGAAAATAAACTTTTTTTGCAAGGGGGGGGCGCAATTCTGCAAGCTGGATTAATTGTTTTGGCAAGACTTACAGGAAGTGTAAGGGAGCCCTGATGTAGTACACAGAGTTAACCTGATAATTACAGTAGCAAATATTGACTGACTTTGAGAACAGGATTAACATTCATGAACTGGCTAGTAAAGTCCTCCCAGCTAAACCACGGGAGGGAGATGGGGGACAGTATCAAGGGAGTCTCTTTTCTGGGAGGCTTTTTGCACAGAAATGAAGGAAGATACTGCAGTGGGAGCAGAAGTGAAGGGAAAACCTCAACCTGCACATTATATGTATATTATATTCAAAAAGCCTGTATTAGGTATAAGCTCAAGGGGACTGCAAAGGTTGAAGCCATTTGTTAAGTAACTAAATGTTCTGCCTYCATCCTCAAATCCTTACCCTCTGTCACTTTAGCTCTCATTTTAGGCCTTTGTCTTATAGAACATGTTTTAAAAAGGCAATTTATTTAGGAGTAAGTAAGGTAGATAAGTTATTTTGTGAACCCATTAACTTAATAATCTAAACTTGTGCTGCCTATTTTTTCTCAGGTCCTATTACATGCTGTGTATGTTCTCAAAACCATTGACATATATATATATAGCTATTTTAGGACTTTGCATTGCAAAACACTCCTTGAAGTGAGGAATGTATATGGATAAATAATGACTGACAAAATGATACCGAATTTACTTGCTTAGTACCTATTGTATCAAAAGGGCATTGAAGACCTGTGAGAAAGCAGATCTCCATGTGCTTTACAGCACCTTCTGAAGCAGAGCTACCTGTCCCAGCAAACTTCAAAACTGCAGGGAGTGTGTGTGTGTGTGCTTGGCTGTCCTTTAAAATCTGCTGCAGGGAGGATTCCGGCTTGCAGGCTAAACGTTTCTGTGGTCATAGAGCTGAATGGTCTTGTCCTGACCTTTCTAGTGACTGTAACCTCATATCCTCGCTCCAAACTGCACCTCTGCACAGCATGTGCAAATTAAGGTCTATTTGTCATCACTTAGCCTTGACCCAATCCATAGAAATAAGTTAAACTCCTAATGATTTTCTAAAAACTCCTTTCCCTGCAGAAATGGATGAGAGAGATTAGATAACATCAAACTAAGGCTGTTGCTGCCTCTGTAGAGCTATCTCTGCAATTAATATTCAACTGAGTGGGTAGGAGTTGAGGAAGGTGTTGAATGAGAGGAGCAGTTGCAGATCCTGGGAGAAGCTGGTTTTATTCCAGGTAATTGCATATCTGAGAACCCTTTGTTCGGGTGACCCACATTTGAATTACTGCTCCTTAGCTCAGGTCAAGTGACACATCAGTTTCCCCTGGAAGTCAAGCGAGCCTGACTTTCCAGTAGGTCAAAAAGATAACTGTTAAACTCAGAATTGGCTCCATGTTAATTAGAAGCTGGTACCCGTGTCGTGATTGAGGCATATTATTTTAAACTTGATACTTTTAACAGAYTTAACATGATTTCCCTCCTTCACTGTGATTCAGAATAATCCACACTGTGTTTTTCCTGCAGTTTCAGTGGAGCTATACCTACAGTTTGAAGGGCTGTATTTTGCCTTCCTTTTTAGGTAGGCAAATTAAAATAAGTTCTTCCACCCTCCTTCCCCACCCTCTCCCCCCAGAAATTTTTTTTTTTKGATTTTATATAGGCTATATGACATCTTTCCATAATACTGGATACTTTACAGGTACTTTGTACCTGTTCAAAATGATGCAGTTTGTTTTTTCTTTTTTTTCCTGCTCACACTGTTGTACTGAGAGGTTGTTTTTTGCCTAGCTGCTATGGTTTGACTTATTTGCTCTAGGAAGAAAAGAGAAGCAATAATGGAACAGTGTGGAAATGTGAAATGTATTTCTTATTTCTTAGCTTAATGTTAATGTGGAGACATTGTTACTTGTGGACCTGCTCAGAATTACATAATAAAGTCTTAGCTTAGAGCTTTAGGATAACCAGAGTCATTTGGGCTGCAGCGTTACACCCCACGGCGAGCCAGCCGGGTTTTGAGGAGCGTAGGAACTTGGTCTCTACGCGGCTTTTAACCCCGCTGGGTCACGTAGGTTTCCTGTGAGTGGGATGGAGAGACTCAGGAAGAGCCCAGGCTAATGAGGAAGTGTCGGAAGAGCCGACCTCGGGRTTCCTACCTCGGCCTGTTCTGCTCTTCTAAAACCAGCTTGAATCTGGAGCTTCAGGAATTACTTGGCTGCYTTTGGAGTAATTTGTGTGTGCCTGTGTGTTGGGCTCTGGAAGGGGGCATCCTCCTTAACTTGCGTGGAGCAATAAAACAGATCAAAGCAGTGGAGACTAACAGTAAAACGAAACAAAAACCAAACCAACACCCACCCAGGCTAATAGTGCAGTAGAGCAGTTTGCATGGAAACTGTTTTTAAAGAAGCTGCTGATTCTCCCCTTCTTGAAGAGATAGAACCGTCCTCTGAGCAGTTCATACAGTGCAGTGAGCAAATAGATGGAATATTTCATCTTCCTAAAAGCTTGTGTATTAAATTGTCTGTGAGCACTTGCAACTGGCAAGTAATACTTTCTGTATGAATATCATGGCTGTTTTAATTTAAAATGTGGCTAGCTTTTCTGCCAGGTGTACAAAGCGCCATGTAAAGGCGAGGAAACATTCTGCTCTAGGCGTAAATTCAGCTGCTATCCCAGKAAAGCAAGAGCAAAACTGGGTGTATTCTCAACAGACTATTGAGGCATGTGTTTGTGTGGTCTCAGCAGAGAAAAATTAGATATTATGTTCAATTCTTTCCTGTAAGGAGTCAGAAAACAGCTAAACTTGTTTGAACAGATGCATAYCTTACAGGTTTAATCAGTATTTTTTTTGTCTAAGAAGTTTTATACAATCAAAAGACTATTTTAGTAGCTACTTTGAGAATAATACAGCAATAAAAATATAGTATTTCCCTTTTCCTGATTTTGCTTTAATTTTATTTCTTCTGATATGAAAATCCTTCTATCCCAACTGTATTTGCCATGATGAAAATTAGGAAACAATTATGTTCGTTTACATGGCTTCCTGAATGATGGTGGAAAAAGCAGTGTGCCTGTCTGCCCAGTTATATAAATATATAAATATATAAATATATAAATATATAAATATATAAATATATAAATATATAAATATATAAATATATAAATATATAAATATATAAATTTACACACACACAAAAATATATAAAATATATATAATAAAAATGTAAGTATATATATTTTATATATTTATATATATATTATATTTATTTATTTACTGTGCCCCTGTTTGGAGTTGTGGTTCACCCATTAAGACCCATTTTGACASACTTGCAGGGCGAGCGAGGCCCAGGGCGCTGGGGCGCACGGGGCGCTGGGGCGGGTGGCAGCCGAGGGGCGAGGGAGGCACCGGGGCGTCTGCTGCTCTGGGCCGGCTCTGCCAGCTGCCCCGCGCTGCCTAAGAGCCGAGCTAGGTTTCCACAAAGGAACTTGGAATATTTATCATTRGGGAAAAAAAAATAGTGAAATAATAATATAGTATGTAACTAGCACATAGAGGCTGTGTAACTGCGGATGTAACAAGGAATCCGTTGGAAGTCAGATCTTGGCTATAGTTTTATTGAAATAAAGATTTCAACCAAAACTTAYGTTATTTTTAAGCATCCTCTTCCACAAAATCATATTTTGTGCATTTTAATCATATACGTTGACAATTTAAGATGTCATTTTATGTAACTTCTGTTGCTACTTTTTAAGTCTTCTACATTTGTGGATGTAGAAGACTACAAAAATTCTAAATTTTTAAACCTAAAAGTGTATGAGAACATATTTAAAGCATGTGACATATTTTAGAAGTATTCATAGCTTCTTTAGGCATAAATGGGGAAACCAGTGTGCAATGAAATATTAATATAGAGCAATATATATTTACTAATACAAGTATCTTCCTGACTGAAAATACCTGCCTTCTTGGGACAGCTGTCATTCAAGAATTCTCTTGTTCAGATAGAAAGTTTTATTAGATGGTTCTTTTCAACTTGAGGTATGGAAAGCTTTATGTGTATGTCCTGAATTTTGTACATTGTAATTTTACTGATTTAAGTAGGATTGCAAAATAAGTAAAAAAGAATATGCATTGTAAGTTTGTCCAACTGGGTGCATTATTTTGTTGGGTTTATATTTAAAAAAAAAAAATCAGTAATAATTACTGCTCCTCTTGCTTAGTAGAACTAATAGCTTTATTTTATTTGAGCTGTGGTGGATATGTCACCATCTGCACTAGCACTAATTGCTTTAGATGATGTCATGATACTGGTACTGAGCTGAAAAGTGACAGTAGCTGACTTAGGCTTTGTAGAGATTAAAATAAACTTTTGAAGTAAACTATCTTAATTCTGTTACAATGGAAACTTGAACAGCTGTAAAGCTCTTAGCAGTATATATTGTTTTTTACATTTTTTGTGTGTGACCTGTTTCTTTAATTTCCTTTCTCCTACCAAATGCTAGACATACACAAGCACTAGCAACAACTCCATGTCAGGCTCCTTGAAGCGGTTGGAAGACACCACAGCTCGGTTCACAAATGCAAATTTCCAGGAAGTTTCTGCACACGTTTCAAGTGGGAAAGATTCCTCAGAGGCGAGAGGGTCAGAGAGCAAAGGGAAGAAATCTGCAGGTCACAGCTCAGGTCAGAGGGGAAGAAAGCCTGGGCCGGGAAGGAATCCGGGAACAACCGTGGCTGCAGCTAGTCCTTTCCAGCAAGGTACTACATGTTGCGCAGTGATTCTGCTACTGCTTTGATGTGAATTAAGCAGAAACCTCATATTTTTAAAACTGGAAAGMCTTTAAACTATGTTTCATCCTTTGAAAAAGGGTTATTTGTCGTCATTATATAAACAAGACCCTGCATCTGCAAAGGACAAAACTGATGCTTTTGTTTAGGATGCTCTCTTTAAATGCTGGAAAAAAGAAAGTTTCTGTTATGAAAAATTGCTCTGGAGTAAAAATTCAGTCTAGGAAGTCTGGGGCTACAGAGCTTTTGAGACTTCTTTAAAGGTCTAATGCTAATGGTTTAAAATTAGTATGTGTTAGAACAAAGTTGGATTGGCAATTACGTAAATCTTAAAATGTATGCAAACACTCTCAAACGTTTTTTCAAGATGCAAAGATGTTAAGTATAGCATGTTCTTAAATGTTCTCAATTTTAAGTTTTGTCACTGAAATACAGAAACTGAAGGTGGTTCCATGACAAGTGCGTTCAGTTTATTTATCAGGTGTGAGAAGCCTGATGTTTTGAACATACTAAAATCTATTAAATTCCTACTGACACTTTCARAAACAAGTTGTGTTGAGCATCCTTAGTCATGATTTTATTCAAGATAAAAATGAAAAGATATATATTTTTAATACAGGAAAAAACTACTAAAATGTTTAATTTTGAAATACAGATCAACAAATCAGATTCTATAGAAAGGAATATGTTTTTTAATAGTTTTCATTGTGGTAAGTAAAGCATAATAGTTGGCTGTCTTTTCTGTTTTGTGGTTTTGTGGTTTGTTTTTGTCTGAGTTTTAATTATCTTGCCATTATGCACTGGATACATTTAAGCTTGTGTAGGTCTTTTTTCTTTACATTTGAAATACTGAAGTAATTTTAGTTAGCTTATGTTTCCAAATAAAACTTTGAAAATTGTCTTCTGGATTCCTGCATTTAAAGAAGAATCTTGCYGGATGAAGATGACAATATAAATCTTTATTATGCCTAGACTTTCTTTTAAAGCTGCCCTGATTTAAATTAATACAGTTAATTTAAAATACAAAACAAATGTTTTTGAGTTTCTAAATTACTGTCCTAAAGCAAATTATATATATTCTTAATGAGATCATTAATAATGGTTAATGGAGCACTAATGATAAAATAATATATTTTTAAAGGACTATTTTTAATGGTTCAGAAAACAAACTGTTTTTTAGATTCTAACTAATTATGTATAATGTCATGTTTAGGATTACTCTGTTAAAGAGACTGTGGTTACCAGCAGATGATGCACTTGTTCAAAACCCACTGGGCTGCCACCCTGTGCTCTGGGTGTCCCTGTTGGAGCAGGGGGTTGGCTTCGGTGGTCCCTAGATGTTCCCTCCAACCTCAACCATTCTGTGATTCTGTGTCATCCAGGCTCTATTGAGCCGTGGCTGTCGACCTTGYGTTCCTGTGGAAAACCACTGAATTCCGGTGAAAGTACCAGCGTCGGCACCACCTGCGGTACCGGTGTCTGTGCTCCCTGAGCAGGGCTCCTTTTCTGTCCTGCACGTGCTAACACCTTGCTGAAGTGACCGCCTTCCAACTATTACCGAAGCGATGTAATTCTGTGGCAGACAGAACACGAAGGGACTTTGTGGGTCTCTGACAGTGCAAAGAAGCCTGAAAGTGCCACTTTTGTGCGTTTTACCCCTTCCTCTCCTGTTCTTTTGAGAAATGCCTCTTGTGTGGAGCACCTCCGCAACCAGGCGCGATTCGGTGCGTTTGCTGCTCCCCTCACCGTTATGGCTTCAGAACTGGAGATATCAAAGGTGCTGAAAAAAAAAGTCACTCTTCATCTTTTATATATTTTTAATTCATGCCCTAAACATRGTGAATCTGAGAATTGGAGCTGGCAGAGGAAAGATCAGCAAACTAACAGAACAAAAGCAACGAGCTACTTTATCATTATCACTGTACCTCTTAGTAACGCTTTTAAGCTGCATTTAAATTTGTTTTCTAAGATATTAATCTTTATCATCAATCATTTTGTACTTTTTTTCTCTTGTTCCTCTAGGTAGCTTTTTGGGCACTCCTGGGAGCATAAAGTCATCTTCAGGAAGTTCAGTTCAGTCTCCACAGGATTTTTTGAGTTTTACTGAAACAGATCTGCGAAGTGACAGTTACACTCATTCCCAACAGACTTCATCAACCAAAGATGTACATAAAGGAGAGACTGGGAGTCAAGAAGGGGGTGTCAATTGTTTCAGTTCCTTAATTGGTCTCCCWTCAGCTGTTTCACAATCTAAAAACTTTGACAATTCACCTGGAGACTTAGGTAACTCAAGCCTTACTTCTACAGCATACAAACGAGCTCAAACTTCTGGAATAGAAGAAGAAACTGTAACAGAGAAGAAGCGGAAAGGAAATAAGCAGAGTAAGCATGGGCCTGGTAGACCCAAAGGAAACAAAAGTCAAGAAAGTATTTCCCATCTTTCAGTTTCTTCTGCTTCCCCAACTTCATCTGTGGCTTCTGCTGCAGGAAGTGTGACAAGCTCTGGCCTTCAAAAATCTCCAACTTTGCTCAGGAATGGAAGTTTACAAAGTCTTAGTGTTGGCTCATCTCCAGTGGGTTCAGGTAGGCCTTCATTGGATTTGTTTTCTTATCTGCAAAGATACCTTTGTTATTTTAGCCTTAGTTCTGAATAAGCTTTTCAGGAACAGAGTATTACGTTAAATATCTCAAAAGTGGTCTCAGGGAACAGTCAAAAGCAGCATATGAGTGTTACAAGAATAAGTTTTGTTGCATGTAATAAGACTATTGTAAGAGTAAGTTCAGCTCCATATTCAGCTGCAGTTAGTYGGTAGTTGGGTGTTGTAGCCTCATGAGTCTATGTTCAATGTAAATGCAGCTTTTCGAGGCTGGAGGGGAGAAGATACCTGCTGTAAAAGCAGGGTCCTTTGGAAATGAGTTAGCTAAAATGCCCAGTAGTGTATCAGGCTGTAGAGGCTTTATGCTTGGTTACATATAGAGAACAAAATCGGTGCTCAAGCATGTCAACACTCACTAGTGTCCCTCAATTATTTTTTTAGACCTAAATTAATTTCTCTAAACTGATTTTTAATTATCAGTCAAAACATTTAACAGGATGATTTGAATCTGATCCTCTCTGCAACGGGGTGATGATTTCATGTTTTTGTGTGCTTTTCGCAACTGAAATTGGCTGGTTTGTTCTTCCTCTGTGCTAAATGTGTTTGCAATTTGGGCTGTTGAGGGGCTTTCTGGTTTTGGTAACCCTGTCTGTGGAATGGCCATGCAGAATGCTGTCCAAGGCTGCAACGTTTCCTTCTAGGTATTTTTGTGTTTGGTTTTAAAAATATTATGCAAAGTAGTTAATAATTATTTTGCATAAATTTGGAATTTTTTTTTGAGGAAGAAGGAGAAATAGAGCTTGAATTTTAGTTGTGGGCAGAAATTTATGCTTGTATATTCCATATTTGCACGGTGTTCAGCTTTTTAGCAATGCATACTTTATGGAATAATACATATTTCCAAAAGAGAAGCTCTGTATTTCTTTCAAAACAAAGCTTGTACTTAAAAAGTGTGCCTAATCTCAGAAGCTCGTTGTTTAACAAATACACAGAATATAGGTAGATYTCTGATTTTAGGGAGAAATAATGATAGAAGCGGTGGAAGCTAGATTCAAAAGATTTCTTTTCCATAGGAATCAATAGGGAGAAACTGTTTCAGACAGTGGAGAGGAAACTAGGATTTCCAAAATTGAAAAACATGCTATCTTGGTTTTCTTATCCAGCAAAATGCCCTCTAGCAGCTTTAGATGAGGATTCTGGATCTTCCAGTGTACAGCTTCCCATCCCAATATGATCCCGTTGAGATGGGCAGTGTTTTGTCAGAGTTGTGGTAACAGATGGAACTGCAGGAGCGTTGCTGGAAGCAAATGACCCGCGGTTCCCCCTTCTGTTTGGCCTCAACTTTCTGGTCTTGTCAGCACTGAGCCCAGGGCTCCTCCTCGCCGCTTCCACCTTGCTCTCCTGCTCCTCCTCATACACCTCGCTCTTCCATCTATAATGTGCAGGCGATGTTGATCATCTTTGTAAAAGCTTTAGAATACATGGATGGAAACACCATGTAAGACTTGTTCTGCTTTTTTGTTCATCACAATATTCACCCGACATCTTCAGCTGTCTCTGTGTGAGTTATTTGGAAAACTAGAGTTTGATCTGTCACATGAAGCTGTGATCTACTCAGATGGTTCTGAAGAGTTAATTGAATAAATTACAGGTTGGAAGTTGCTTCTTTTAAGTATGAGATCTAAAATCAGCTGCAAACCTCTGTTTGAACCTGGGCGTTTTGTTTTAACATACTTTTCTCCCCATTTATCCTTCCTTGTTATGGTAGCGCTTTTTTCCTCACCTCATCATAAGCATGTTTTGGGTTTAACAGTCAGTTTATTATTGTGGACATTTAATGTTACTTGAATGAGTCAAAGTTTATGAATATCCATATATTGGAAGCATTTAAGTATAGGAAGCATATCAGGTTCATATGGAGATTTTTCTCTGTTACATGTAAATAGTAAAAGAAAATAAATGGGAAATCAAAATACATTTTTTTTACTGGCTGAATTTGGAGTTGCCTCATTATTTCAGCACATCAGGATCAGGAATGAGTCAGTACTCAATAAAACTTTTGAGGCACCTTTTCAAGACTTGATTGGTTTTTAAGTATCAGCTTCTCAATGATTTTGTTAATCTCTCCTTAACTGTAATCATCTTGAAGAAATTGTGACTTTCCATTCTCTTGAAAATCCATTCACTGAGTGAGGCTGTGAAGATGTTCGCTTGCAGTTGTGTGATGTTCTGGTTCCTGCTTGGTGTTGAAATTAGATACTGTATGGAAAAAAAAAGAAGAAAAGTGATATAGCTTCATCATGCACAATTTATACACATAGAACTTACATTCAGAGTGAGTGCATCCTGCTCTCCCTCTGCAAGGATTGCTCCCCTCTAGATGTTTGCTCCGCAGAATTTGTGCTCTGCTTGGTATGGTCAGAGATGCACCATGAGTAGTAATAGTGTATCCAAGGGAGTGAAAAAGTGATTTAGAAAGTTGGTATGGTGTAAAGGAATTTTTGTATTAAATTAATGTTTTATAGGACCTGTATTCCTGKGAAAGTAGAGCTACTTTAGCCAATAACAGTTTATTGGCAACCTGTACTTATTTTTCTGGCGTAAGTTCGCAAGTCCTGTGAATCTGTGGTCTAATGCTGTGTAAACCAGATGTCAATGAGACTTCTGTAAAGATGGTCCTGGATTCCCCCAAATGGATTTTGCCTGTTTGGCATGTACTAAAACAYGCAGCTGTTTTGGATCCTGAAATTGCTCCAGGAATGTTTTAATAGGGGAAGGGAAGTTTTCTTCTGAACTCTGCAGTTTTAAAGAGGTTCACAGCTTTTCAGGTATCACAATAGCTGTGCTCAGAGTTGATCTCCTTCTTGGTGTCCTTTTGGAGAAAAACCTTCAAGGACTCGTAGCCCGAAGGCCTGTTCAGCAGCAATCCTTCCTGCTGAAGGTTTCCTCTTTTCTCAGCCATGCTCATTAAAGAACAGCAGGCTGCCTGCAGCCAAAGGTGAGCAGAAAGGAGCAGCACCATGTCTTGTAGCTGACCTGTGCTGGTAACACCTCCCGAGATCAACTCCTCCTTTATTTCWGTGGTAGAACAAGGACTAACAGCATGGTGGGGAGAAGAAAAATCTAGTTATGATAAATAATTTTCCATAAGTACTGTCTTTCGATCGAGCAGTTCATATAGGCTTTGCACTTGGATTGTTTAGGTTATGTTCCTGTGAAAGAACTGTCTGAGAACTTGTGTCCCAAAGCAATAGGGGGTAAAAAATTATTTTATGTCCATAATGATGCCTTTTAACTGCTGTGAAATAAAGCAGCAAGGTAAAATGAAAAGATATTAAATTTCAGAGGGCAAAGTTAAATCTGTGTTTCACAGCAGTTAAGTTTTGTGCACAGTTCTCAAGTTCAGTGTGGGCACTTCATGCTGAAGAAATAAAGTGCCMAACCGTAGAGGAACAACCCTCTGCCTGTCCTTTCTGGTTGAGTTCTTGGTGTCAAGTGTACAACAAATTGTATAGTGCAACCTCATAGGCATATGGCCTTCAAGGACTCRTGTGCTTCAGTATTTTAATTTTTACATGGTTAATTTTGTTCCCCTGTAAGTATTTATTTAAAACACATTTAAAATGCTGCAAAAATCTTAACGCAGAAATTCCTGCCCCCTCCTTCCCATCTAGAAAAGATTGAATAGAACTCAAATGGTCGGCAGGTGATTAGGCTGTGCTTGCCAAATCCCAACCCTGCCTCTTTCCCGGAATCCTTTCCGTGGTCGCAGCCACGGCAGCGTCTCATTTTCTTTGGCACGTCCCATCTCTGCACCAAACTTGCCCTCTACCCGATCAGTGCTCCTGTCCATCGATATAAACACCAATATATCAAACAGCAGCTGTCTGAGCTCCTGCTAGAGCAGCTGTGGGAAGTGGGGCTCCTGGAGACTTCGCATCTTTCTGAGCTCCTGGCAAGTCTTTGGTTTATGGTGTTTTATTTAGCCTCTGTGGCCTTTGGTTTACTTGCAAGCTGAATCTAATGGGAGAAGGGATTTAGTCGGACATCTCTGCAACCATTTGGACTGTTACGTTTATCTCCTTGGTGCCCCCAAAGCAGAAGCAGGCCGAGAAGCCCTGCGGTGTTTAAAGAGCCGCTTTGTGCTCCAGGAGAGTGGGAATGGAAAAGAGGAATTTCTACTTGTAGCTATGAAGGAACTGGGAGGACAAGCAGACTCTGTAGGAAACCCCCGGGCAAAAGTCTAGTCCGGGAGAATGTTTTCGTGTTTTTAAGCTCCACGGAAATGGTGTCGGTCCATTACTAGATAAAATGATTTGATCCCGTGGAAAACATGGGAGTGTATATCAAATATTTGGGGAGAAATTAAATGGAGCAGTGGAAGCTTATGAAGACAGGGATTATCATGAAATAGGTTCCTCCTGCACCCCAAGTGTTAACTAAAATAGGTGATATCAGCAGTGACAGCTAGAAGTAGTAAACTGGCATTTCCTGATAATAAGTATCTCACATTCACACACTTTCAAAATGTCACATGTTAATTTTCAGTGGGTCTTTAAAACTAGAGAAGTTGTAGGGGACTAGCAGAAAGCTGGTGTTAGGGAGCTGGGGTGTATCTGATGCAAGAAAGATAGATATTAAGAGAGATGAAGATGAGTAATGATGGTTAGTTTGGCTTGTGGCAACTAACTCCTATTAGATTGCCTTTTTTTTTTTTTTTTACACTTTTAAAAAATTATTATAATGGTAATAGTTCAATGGACATCTACAAATAATGTAAATTATGTAAATTGGTAGAACATGACATTTTAATTTAAAACCTTTAATGAAAGAAAAGCAACAAGCCATTACACTGAATATACTAAACTGGTAAGTCTTAAAATTCATTTTAATCACGGAATTATTGAATCAGATGCAGTGTTTTGGGGTTGTGTGGTCCTTGTGCAACAATTGTCACCTTGATGCTGTTTTGTGGAAGATTCTATG